GATGGGGGTGGTGGGAACAAAGGTTAAAGGGTCCGTGCCAGCTGACTGTATGGGAGTCTAGAAAATTGAGTTTCTTGGTTGGGCATTGTAACGGAGAACAAAATCTAGAATACAGTTCTGTTATATTCGAGGAAAAAGGCGGCATGGATATTGGGCAGGGACCTAACAATACCTGCTACCCACTCCCGTCAACGTAGTCTGTCCCCTAGGTCAGTCAGCACGGCTGACTTCTCTGCAAAGCCCTTCCAGGGCCATTTCTTAGGCAGAGTAAAGTCCTCGCCCTGGTCGGAAAGGCCCTGTGCGTCCGTCTGCTCTCCGCCCCATCCCTGCTCCGCTCCCCCTCCAGCCTCACCGCCTACTCCTCTGCTCTCATCTGGCTCCGGCCGCCCTGGCCTCTTGCTGCTCTGTGAACATGAGCAAGCATGTCCAATTCAGATTTCTTTTCCATGCCCGGGACACCTGCCCCTGCGTGTCTGTCTGGCTCACTCCTTCACGCCTTCAGATCCTTGCTCAAATGTCTCATAAAATAACACTTCCCTTCTACCCCCTCCTCTAACCCTCGCTGTGATCTATTTTTCATCGTAGCTCTTGTCACCACTGGGCTCGAATGAATGAATAAATGATTAGTGGCAGAAAAGACTGTAGAAAGGACAACTAGAATTTCTGATCATTTATTTTCCACTTGGGGCCTTCCTCCACTGCCTCCTGCAGGCCAGAGCTTGTGAGCCCATGACAAGCAGATTATCTCCACATACCCTCAGATGGCACTTGGGATGGTGGCCCTTATTTCCATGTCTCACCTCCCCAGAGAGGTGTGTTGGCTTCTTTCTGAGGCAGGATCTCTTTTTATGGTAATATGATGGCCACAGGCTGCTCTAGATTTAAATTCTGCCAAGAAAAAGAACACCTCTTTTTGCATGCTTCCAGCAAAATCCCATGGCCTAGTTCCCATGGGTAAAACTTGGGTTATGTGCCTGTTCCTAAACCAGTCACTGGTTCCATTGGACTGGATTGTCCTGAGCTGCCTGTGGAGCAAAGTTGGGGTCCCAAAGAAAAATCTAGACACTGTTATGTGTGGGAGGAAGAATGGATGCTGGGCAGTCAAAAACTATAGAAACCCTCTAGAGGCACTTGGCTCAGTGGGGCAGTGAAGGACTAGGGTAGGCCCAGGGGCACTATTCCGTCTAGAGGAGATCCAACCTCAGCACAACAGCCGCATCCCTAATGTCTAGGTGGGGGACACTTCCCCACAGCGCCTGGCACAGGACTCGCGCAGAAACCGAGGAATGGCATAACCGCTGGAAAAGCAAAGCAAAGGGCATGTTGGTCTGTTCTGTTTTAGAATCAAGGGGCTTTCTTTCTCGGCATGTTTTTCTTCCCTCCAAGGCTGTTTTCTATTTTTAGCTCTTATTAAAGGTGCTGGAAGTGCTGGATCCCGACAGGAAACTGGAGGACACATGGGCTTATTGTCAGGGCGTCAGGAAAAGAAAAAAGGAATCAGCCAAACCTTTAAAAAAGCATTCTACCCAAGTCGACCTGGGACTGTAAGTATTGTTCTTAACCCCTTGTTGGTTCTGTCACCTGATGAAACATTGGAGGACTTACCTTCTCAAAGCTCCTTTTGGATAATTTCTAGAAGCAAAATAACTTAAGTGCCCAAGGAGAAAGGAAAGGAGCCTTGGGTCCTACTGTGAGTAGTGTTTATTTCATAAATGGCTGTGAATTATCCAGCAATAGAGCCGACACAAGTATTTGACTCTAGCACAGCTGTTTGGGAAGAGGAAACTGCAGAAAACCTGGTTAATCGGCCCATAATGACTCTTTGAATGATCTATGTCAGAAGTCTTTTACTCAATATGATTGGGACCAATAGTTGGTTGGAAAACAAAACAAAACAAAGAGATTAACACAGGGAATCAGAAAAGATGATACTTAAGTACTTGAAACATTTTATTTTATCCTAAAACATAACTGTATATTCACTTGCTCGTCTTTTAGTGTCAAACCTTTTTGGAGTACGTGTCTGCTTGAAGTTCCCAGTCACTGTTTTTGCATAAACCACACCAGTAACGTCACCTTCATTGACCCTTTCCAAAGCACTATGCTTAATTTTCATAGACGCCTCCTTCTTCTGTATCACACTCTTGTATTCCCAGTTCACATATTTAATCTGAAATGTTAGTGTAATGATAAGTATACTACACAAAAATAGATTTGGGGGGCACCTGGATGGCTCAGTTGGTTAAGCATCTGACTTCAGCTTGGGTTGTGATCCCCAGGGCCGGGATTGAGCCCCATGTAGGGCTCCCTGCTCAGTGGGGAGCCCGCATCTCCCTCTCTGTCTGCCCCTCCCCACCCTGGTCTCTCTCTCTCAAATAAATAAATAAAATCTTGAAAAAAATAGTTTTTGGATACAAATTCGACTTGTGAATTTAAATGAGGTCACTGGTGGGCCCTCAGGAGTGTGGGTGAAGGAGAGAGCAGCCAATCCACAGCCCCCAGCCCACTTACAGAGGACCCAGGCCCATGGTCAGGGTGTGTGGAAGGGGCCATGTAGAGCTTTTATTAAATTATACATGTTTGCTAAAGTGAGACACAAGGTGACAGGAGCCCAACCATCCTGGCCCCTGAGTGTGCCCCCTCATAAAATTGGGGAGAATAACTGGGCACACTCATCTCAGCTCTGTCCTTCTTCCCCTAGGAAGCAAGATGGCCCATGGGAAACACAAATCCTCTGCTCCTCCCTTCCTGAGGGGAGCCCCACCCTGGCCCAGCACCACTGGGGCCTACATGGGACAGTCTGCCCATTTCTGGGTTTCAGTTAACAAGTCCTTTTGAACCTAAACCCATGTGCTCCAACATGGCTGCTATCAGCAATAAAGGTGATATGTTCGCTTTCATCTTTGCTTTTTACATTATTTTGCTCAGAACCTGGGTGGGGAAGAGGGAGGAGTGTTATAAGTAGGGATACCCTTGGAGACCCCAACAGTGTGGGTCACTGTGGCCCTAATGAGCATCTTTGAATTTTTTGATCCTCAGTGAACTGTTAGCTAGTTCTCTTTATGCAAAACAAAGCAAAAGAAAACAAAACAACAGTACTTACTGAGTACCTGCTATGGGTCATAGACAATGTTAGGTTCTGAGGATATAGTGGTAAACGGATTAGGACCCTGTCCTCATGGTGAGTGCAGCGTGGTGTGGAAGGGAGCAGTGAGTACTTAGAGAAGGTATGCATCTTAGTTCACAAAGCCATATGTTTATAAAATACCACTTCTCTCTCTCTCTCTTTCTATTTATATCTGACTCCAAGCCCTCATCTCACTGAGCAGCAAACCAATCATGGTCATTATTTGTACTATAAGAAAGCGGATGGGTCCCCAATAATTGCAGGACTGATCTTTAACTTCTTTCTGGTCTTTGGGACTCTTCTCTCCATTCTTGCTGTTTGTGGTACACTCCGTACACCACCCACCTGTCTCTTCTCACGTCACCCACAATATCTAGCATAATTGCTGCAATCAGCTTGGGCTTCTACACAATATATGTTCTGCCTTTAACCATAGGCAGTTTTCCTGAAAAAATCAACCCTGAAAAAATCTCCAGGGCAAGGAATTCAAAACAAATGTGTTATCTACTTAAAAGGAGGGAAGATAATAGTATAGAGGAAGTGAACAAAACTAGTATCTTAATAAATTATCATCACAAAGTGAATGTATAATTACATAATGGCAAGTTTTTCAGCATAGCCTTAGCACGTTCTGTTAGCATATTCTTATACAGCGGCTGCTGTACAAAGTAACATGAATTTGGTGGCTTAAAACCACAGAAATTTATTATCTCACAGTTCTGGAGGCCAGAGTCCAAAATCAGTATTACTGTGCTGAAATCAAAGTATCAGCGGGGCCATGTTCCTTCCAGAGGCTCTAGGGAAGAATGCACTCCTTGCTTCTTCGAGCTTCTGGTGGCTACTGTGGCCATGGGGCTGTGGCCACATCACTCCAGTCTTCACGGTCAACATCTTCAAATCTGTCTGCTCTGTCTTCACATCTCCTTCTCCTCTGTGTGTGTGTGTGTGTGTGTGTCAAATCTCCCTGTGCCCCTCTCTTACGAGGACACTCATGGTGGCATTTAGGACCCACCCAGATAATCCAAGATAATCTCCCCATCTCAAGCTCCTTAAATTAATCATATCTATAGAGATGATTTTTCCAAGTAAAGTAACATTCACAGGTTCCAAGGATTAGCACCTGATCTCTTTGGGGGTCATTATCAGCCTACCACAGCATGAGGTAATATCTCTTCAAAACAACTTTCATTGAGCTCAGAGTCTTTCCTTTCCTTTAGAGCAAAACTCCATGAAAGTGGAGTCCATACTCACTTCCTCTTCTTTCTTTAACTCACCAGCACTCCAATGGATCTGCCCCTGGTCATGGTTGCCATTGACTTCTATGTCACCTAGTCCGTTCTCAGTGATCATCGTTCTTGATGGGCCAGTAGCAGTTGACACAATTGATGATGTCCTCTTTCTTGAAACACTTTTGTTCACCTGGCCTCTGGAACACCCCCCATTCATGCTTCTCCTCCTCCTTCAGTGACTTCTCCTCAGTCTTTGTTTGCTAGTTCCTCCTCATTTTCCTTTTAACCTTGAAGTGCATCAGTCTTGGACATCTACCGAGGTGACCTCATCCTGCCCATTTTATATGGATGTTCAACATTTGCCCTTGGATGTGCACTTGCCATCTCAAACTCAATAAGTCCACACTGAACTCTTGATTTCTTCCCCAAACCTACTCACTCTTCTGTCTTTTCCAGATCAGTAAATAGCAACTTCATTCTTCCAGTTACTTTTGAAACTGCCAACAAATCTTAATGGCTTTATCTCTGAAATATATCCGGACTCTCACCTACTGTATGACTGTCAATCTGTTCCAAGATAACACCATCTCTTGCCTGAATTATTGCCATAGTCTACTAAGTGGTCTCATGGCCTCCACCCAATGTAGCCCCTCACCCTGCCTATTTGTCACACAGTAGTTAAAATGATTCTTTTAAAAAGTTACATCAGCCTCATTCCTGTGCTCAAAATTCTCCAGTTAAGGTACGCATAGGGAATGTAGTCAATGGTATTGTAATAGCCTCATAGGGTAACAGATGGCAGCTAGATCTGTGGTGAGCACAGCGTAACATATAGACCTGTCGGATCACTAAGTTGTACACCTGAAACTAATGTGACACGATCATGTGTCAAGTATACTTCAATTTTTAAAAATGTGCTGCAGGATACATATGATGACAATAAATGCTATGTTTTTTATTTTAAAAAATTCTCCAATTGCTTGCTTATTCAGAGTAAAATCCAAAGTCTTACAGTTGCCTCTAAAATCTCTTATGATCAGGCCCTGTTACCCGTCAGGCTTCACCCTCCTCTCCTCTGTCCTCCAGTCACACGAGCCTCTCTGCTGCTCCTCGTCCACTCTCAGCATGCTCATGCCTTGGGGCCTTTGTACATGTTCTTTTTTTCTGCCTGGTGTCTGCAGTTTAATTCTGCATGGTGTGATCCACTTCTTCTTTTGGGTCTCTGCTCAACTGTCACTTTGGTAGCGAGGCCTTCTCTGTAGAAATAAAAAGTCCCCTGTCAACACTATCCATCCCTCCTGCCCTCTTTTATTTTTCTTTATATCACTTGCAATTGCCTGGCATAGGCTTACCTCTTTCCTATCTGTCTCAATCTTAAGTTCTATGAGAACAGGGTTTAAACTTTATTTACAGCTGAATCCTAATGCCTGGAGCTGTGCCTCGTACTTAGTTGGTGTTTAATAAATGTTTGTTGAATGAATGGATGGATGAATTAATATATGGGTGCTACAAATAAAAGGAAGTATGGGTTCTGGGGACAGCCCAGGAATACCTCCCTGAGGAAGGGATATGTATGTTGGAACATAAGGGGGATGAGGGAATGCAGAAGGCATTGCAGTCAGATGGTACAACATGTGCAAAGGCCCTGTGGCTGAAGGGAGCATGGTGAATTCACGGAACTGAGAGAAGGTCATGATGACTGGAGCTCAGAGAGTAAGGCAGGATGGTAATGCCAGAAGCATCGGGAGATACAGGCAAGGATCAGGCCATGAAGAGCCTTGGAAACTGAGTTAAGACTTAGGTCTTTAATGGGAGAGTAATAAGCTATTGAACACAAAAACTTGTACCTGAACGTTCATAGCAGCACTATGCATAATAGCCCAGATGTCCACTAACTGATGATTGATAAACAAAATGTGGTCCATTCAGAAAATGTAACTTAGTCATAAAAAGGAGTAAACCACTGATGCATGCTATAGCATGTAGGAACCTTGAAATGTGATACTAAGTGAAGGAAGCCCGACACAAAATGCCATATATTATAAGGTTCCATTCAGATAAAATGTCTAGAATAGGCAAGTCAATAGAGACAGAATGTAGATTACTGGTTTTCAGGAGCAGAGAGAATGGGGGAAATGAAGAGTGACTGTCAGTGGTTATGGAGGTGCTTTTTTGGGGTAATGCAGATGTTCCAGAATTAGATAATAGTAGTGGTTACATAACTTTGTAAATGTATGGAAGCCACTGAATTGTACACCTTGAAATGGTAAATATTATAGTATGTGAATTATATCTCAATTTAAAAAGAAGCTATTGAGGGCGCCTGGCTGGCTCAGTTGGTTAAGTGACTGCCTTTGGCTCAGGTCATGATCCTGGAGTCCCAGGATCGAGTCCTGCAT